AAGGTCCCAGAGCTGGGCGATGCATTATCAACTTCACATCGGCTCCTTTATAGGTAAGGCCTCCAACGTGTGGGTTAGACTAGTTGCCCACACTTCACATCCCTTCGTGAAACTTGAAGGCTGCTTTGCTGAAACACTGTCAACTTGAGCCTGTAGTTATCTGGGAGATGGCAAAAATAGACCGAAGCTTGGGACCCCTGACTTCCCACTGTCCTTACAGTGGTGGGGATGGAATCCAGGCCTGTGCATGCCAGGCAAGTGCTCTGCTGCTCACTACCTACCTAGTCCCTTGGTGTTTTGAGGCTGGCTTCAAACTCACAATCCTCCTGCCGCTGCCTCTGAGTACTTAGATAACAGGCTTTTGTGCCACCATGCCCTGCTAATTATGAGACTTTATAATATGTTTAAATATGTGTTGCCCCTTTGTTTCTTCTTGCTTTTAAATTTTTTTTTCTTTTCTGGCTCTTTGTCTTTTTTGTTCCTACAAATAACATTTATGGTCAACTTACCTAGCTAAAGGTTAAAGGAACTGGAATAAAAATTAGAATTGCATTAAATTTATAAATTGACTCAGGAAGGTTTCTGGCTTTAAGTTACTGGGTCTTTCAGTTTAGGTACACAACATTTCTTTTCATTTGTTCAAGACTTTGGGTTTTTAATCATTGTTTCATTATAGAATTTGGGTACTTAAGTTTCTTCAGAGGCATTTTATATTAGAGTATGATAAATGAATTTATCACTTCAGTTGTATATATGAATAGCATTTTTTTTGGTGGAATTCTATAACCTGTGACTTCATTAAAGCTTATTGTTTGTTGTACAATTTTTACATTGATCTCTCTGGGTCTTCTAGAAAGAACCAACATTTTTCTCCTTCTTCCTAATTCTTTCACTCATATTTTCTATTCTGATTGCATAGGCCACCATCTCTGATTAGTGTTACATTGTAGCAGATATCTTTGCCTCAATTCTAATTTACCAAGTGGGTCTCTAGTGCATCTTCTTTAGAGATATTTTATCATGTTAAAGACATCTCCAAAAATCCTCATTATTATGAGAAACTGAGATGTACAGACATAATCATAGAAGCCGGTTCAAGGTCATGCACGGTTTCATGTCTGGTTTCAAAGTTCCTGGTCTTTGTACCACATCTGTTTTTCATTACATGGACCAACATGTCCCCCACTCTTGACATGAGCCTCACATTGCAAGGTTTCCTAAGAGGTCTAGCAGTGACTGAGCAGAGTGTGTGAGAAGGGCTTGGAGAGAGGCACCTGGTACAGGTTTGTCTCTTCTCTGCTTTCTTCAGCCATTCTTCCCCCAGATACACTCTAAGTAGCAAAACAAGGGCTCTTAGGAAATCAGAAGTTTCCCTTCTTAGGAAACAACTTATGACTACCCCCAAGTAGCAGCCTCATGTTTCCTTTTTCCCCCCTGACTTACTGAAATATTCTTCCAGTCTTATTCATCCCTGTCTCTAAGAATTTTCCCGAATATATGTTTCTCTGTGTCATGACATTTCTAACCACATTGTAGTGTCCTATAAAGCTTAGCTGGCAGTCACTGAGACAGAGGGATTGCTTCAAGTTTGAGTCCAGCCTGAGCTTACATAGTAATTGCCAGTCTAGCCAGGACCCTGTATCAACAAACACAGTGCACACATGCATACACAAGTGTGTGTGCATTAAACAAGGAAAGGGAGAGCAATGGATTTTTTTCTCCTTGGGAAATATATTTAGGCCTTTGTAGACGTTAAAACAGCTCAGAGTTCTGTTCTGCTCCTCACACCTCCTTTCAGAGACGACAGGCTGTCATTCTTGACGCTAACCCTATTGCCTTTTTTACCCAGTGTGTGTGATCAGTTCTCAGTGTGGTTGTGACACCAGGCCCACAGCTTCCATGGTGAGAGAAAGAGGCCTGAACTGCACCCTCAGGCTTCTGGCAGTTTCTCCAGACAGTCAAATCTCCAGTGTGCAGGCTGTCTCTCCAAGGGGGAGAAAATAGGGCCACTTTAGAACCCCGATTCTCAGGCCTTCCAATAATTTTGATTTCTGTTTGCCCTCTGCCTGTGGAGAACCAGTATTCCTCCTTCACATTTAATCTCTAGATCTCCACATCCCCTTCTCTTCCTCCGGCAGTTTCTCCCTCACCCTGGCTCAGCTCCCACCTTGTGCACTGACATTCACTACGCCTAAGCTCCTCTCGGCTGCTCTCTCTGCAGCTGGGCACAGGGACGTCTCTCAGTGCAAGCTCGTGTTTGGTTATGGAGGAGAAAAGGATTTGCTGCTGCTGCTGTTGCTTCCAGACCTAGTTATTGGCATCACCTACTTGGTATGAAAAATCAGGAGCACAGAGCCGCCTCCTGCTGGACCAGGAGTTGGGTTTCCCGGTCCTCTTGGGTCCCAGAGGCCACCACCTGGGAATTTTCCCACTTGCTTCCACTGCTTAGCAGGAGAAGGGGCCCTTAGTGGTTCTAAGGCTAAGGAATCAAGAGAGTGAAGCTTAAAAATCGAGGAAGAGAACAGGGAGGAGGAGGACAAGAAGGAAGTGTCTGTTCATATCTAGGTGTTCACAGATAGATTAGAGGAAAATGGCTGCCATTTTGGACTTTGACCACCAGGAGCAGAAGCAGAAGTCTTGGTGTTCTTTCTTCATGGCTGTTCTATTGAGGTATTTTATAGCTGTTTAGTCTATAGGTTATAGAGTTGCTGGATTGTGTAGACATTATTCAGTCCAGTTTATAGATGAGAAACTGAGGCTCATGCATTGTAGAAGATTTTGTAGCCAGTTGCGATGTCTACTCACTAGGCTCTGCCACTGAACTTTCTAACCATGCCATTGAGATGTCTGGTTTCCTCCTGGCACGTGTGTGTGGCATCCAGGTGTCATACTGCCCAGTGTATACTGCTGAGCTGGAATATCTGGGATGTTCTAGGAGTTAATATGTCATACATATTTGAAAGTAAGATAGTTGTGGGGACTCCCTGAGGAGTGGCTACCTCTTGGACAGGCTGTGAGGCCCTGGATGTTTGAGGCTCATCAAAAGTGTGGTTAGAACATCTGCACCAGCCAAAAGGATAGTATTGTACCCTCCTCCTCTGAGGGGAGGGAGGGAGGGTGTTGAGAACAGTGAAGAAGCAGCATCATGGGATGAGATGGGGGCTCCATATATGCCCCTGCTTGACATCACCCAACCATACATGAACAGTTTGTAACCTTTCAGGCTGCATGCCTGACTCCAGGGAGCAAATGGGATTTGGCTGCGTCTGGCTGGATTAGAGACTGATGATTTAGTGTGTGGGGATCCCAAGGCCAGCGTTTGGGGAGGAATGGGAGAGATAAGTCAGCTACCCACAGAGGGACCAGCTGAGATGGGCAATGGCAGTGGGATTCCAGCCTTGAGACCACAGCTTGCTGGCAGAATTGATGGATGTGCTTGGAGCCCTGCAGAAATTATCCCAGAGAATAGGTCACAGCCCTGAACCAGGTGAGAGGGGAAGGAGGCCTCTGCATACCTGCCCAGCAAGATGGCTGTCCACTATACGTAGTGATCAGAAGGAATAAAACCCAAGAAAAGCAAAAATGTCAAGTTCCCAGTCCCACACCCCAAGGGCTCGGTTACCATAGAAGCTGTTGTATAGGTATTTTTCTGAATTGAAGTATAGTCCCTTTGGGAGGGAGGAGGGCAGTTCCTAAGATCTGGGAAGCATAAGGAAACTTGCAAAGCTCAGCAAATTATAAGATTCACACCCCTCCCCCCCCACACCAGTTATATATGCAGTAAACCCTTGTTGGGGGAGGGAGACTCTTTCATAGAGCTGCCTGCAAATGGGCAGGGAGCTGCAGGGGTGCAGCTTTCATGAGCATCACCATGCACTTTGCAGGGATGCAGCTTCCTCTGATTCAGTTATGCTCCTGTAAGTAACCCCAGTGAACTAACTGGTCACCAGGCTAGACTTGGGTAGAATCTTTGATCTGTTGGTAGTGCCTGTCTGAGGTGAAAGCGTACTTGTTCATGTCTTCCAAGGAGAAGTCACAACCAAGACTAAGACATTTCCATTGCCCAGAAAATTCTAGTTAAATCTAAACTGTTGTGCTGGTATTTTTATATTGGTTTCATGCTGAAATAATTTTTGCTATATTGAGTTAAGTAAGATAATATTAATGCCAACTTCACCTGTTTTTACACACACACACACACACACACACACACACACACACACACACACACGTAGTAGGAAATTGAAAATTACCAGTATGGTCCATATTCTCATTGGTCCCATATAACCATTATATGTGGATACAGGTGCACACTTTCATTTAGTCATCATTTAAAACATCACATCCGTTCAATGGGATTTGGTTCTATGATGGCTTGAAAACCCTTTACAGTAACAGTGACAGAGGCAGTCCCAGATAAAAGGTCAAATACAACTTTGAAGAAAGAAAAATCCAAGTTCAGATATTGGCTGCATCTTTCTATTACATTGGTTTTCCACCTTCCTGATGCTGTGACCCTTTAAAACAGTTCCTCATGTTGTGGTCCCCCCCCCCCCATAAAATTATTTCATTGCTACTTCCGAACTGTAATTTTGCTACTGTTAGGAATCATAATGTAAATAGCTGAGATGCAGGATATCTGATGTGAGACCCCCAAAGGGGTTACGCCCCACAGGTTGAAAAAGAAACTGCTGCTCTACTAGCTTGTGAACTTGGGCCATGTACACAGTTTCCTTATTTGAAAAGTGTACGCAATGATAGTTTGGTCGCAGAGCATTGTTGGGATGTTTTGGGGGTGGTGCCTGTGCTATGCCCAGGGGGTCCTGGCCCCTGGTCAGCCTCAGTGAATGGCAGCTAATGTCACCATCAGATCCCCAGCGGTTTGGGGACGAAAGAGGTCAGCTTTCCCGGCCTCAGACTACTCACCACTTTTCCTGTAGCCTTCAACATCCCCACTCAGGGCTCCAGCAAGCCTTTAGAGACGGAGCTGGAGGACTTACCTGCTGGTAGCTGCTGGCCCAGGAGGCTCGGAGGGCATCCCAGCCTCCGGAGCGCTTGGCCTTGCTCTCCAGGTGAGCCCGCAGTTGTGTTTCCAGCTCCTGGCTGACTTGTTCCAGAGCATGCACCTTGGCCATGTATTCCACTAGGCAGCCCCCCAGGTCTTCAACAGCAGCATGATCCCTTTCTGGGCTGGGAGCAGGCACCGAGGCAAGGCCTGAACTCCGCAGGCCCTGGAGGAAGACACTGCTGATGCCCAGGGCCCGGCGCGTCACTCGGGCACCCAGGCCACCTACGCACCCACTGGGTGCTACTCCTACATAGACTCCAGGCGCACGGATGAGGCTACCCGCAGCACTGGTCCTGGATGCTGGGGGGCTCTCCAGGGAGGATGGAGATCGTGTCCCCCTGAGGGACACCCTGTGCCTCTGCAGGGGCATGTTGGAGTTAGCTGCAGCGGGCAAATCCACTGCCACTCTCCTCTCACTCATCATTCTCTCTGCCTCTGTGGTGCCTGGCAGGGTTGCAGGGTCCAGCGGCTTTTGGTTGCTAGCCCCAGCATCCTCATGGCCTGGTCACGGGCCTCTCTGGAAGCTCCCCTGCCCCCCATGTTCTTTGTCTACGGCCTTCCATGAGCTTCTGTCATTCACTGAGCTGGAAGAGGACCGCCCCACCAGCCTGTGAGAGGCACACAGGCATTCTCTGATGCTGGGTCATGTGCCAAACCATCCAGACTTTTCTGCTGGGGGGAGGGCGCTGGACCACTGCGGACTGTGGGGATGGGTCATCTAGATTTGCCTACTTCTTTTTAGACCGGGTCTCTATCTGAGGCTGGCCTCAAAATTCCTATGTAGCCAGAATGGCCTTGAACTTGTGATCTTCTGCCTCTCATCCCTGTGATAGACTCCAGGGTCTCACGCATACTAGGTGAATACTCTATGGACTCTATATCCCCAGCCCTTGGTTTTGTATGTCACTGCCATAGTGAAGGGCAGGCGAGCAACAAGCAGTTTTGTTTCACTGGTGAGGAAACAGGCTTGAGGACCTTAGAGGACAAGTGTACTGATCACCTCATCCAGATCTCCCATCACAGGCTGGGCCTCAGTGTAGCAGCCTCAGGACTGATCGCGGGGCTTTCTGCATACCTTCATGTGCTGAGGTAGGGGCGTGTGTGTGCATGTGAGTGCACATCCACACAGGATTGGAGGACACATGTGGATGCGAGCCAGCCATGGAGGAAGGCAGCCCCAGAGAGCCAGGGGAAGCACAGCAAGCCTGCCGCTATCCTCTCCCCTCAGGTCTGGCAGCCGTTCCAGGCCCCTTCCAGCTTTTCTCTCCCCTCCTCCTCCTCCTCCTCCTCCTCCTCACATCTGCCCTCTGACACAATGCTTGTCAGCTGCTGGCCCTCGGCCATGTTTCTCCTCCTCTAGACCTGCTGTACATCTTTCTGATTACTAACTCGGACACATCAGACACTCTGGAGCCAGTTTGGGACCTGAACTGCTGGGCGGCTGTTTGTTAGACTCTGTTCTCTTTCCCACCTCTGTCTCCCCCTCTAATAAGACCAAAAAGTGAAAACAAGAAAGCATTTTCTGGAAAGCACCCGTGGGTGCCACAATTTAGGGTTTGCTGGGCACCCCAGGTTTTAATCCTTGCCTTTGGCATACTCCAAGTCACACTGTCAACTGTCATATCCCAATCACTTCTTGGGGGCTAGAATGTTCCTTCCAGCCTGGGCATGTACTGAGGTTTTAGTGTATTGAAACTAGGTACCCCAGATCTAGAGATGGACATACTCCTTGATCCTGTAATGTGAGGATGGACCCCAGGAAAGAGAAGGGAATAGGAGTTAACTTCTGGTAGGTACCTAATGCACCCCCATTCTGAGCACAATTCCACTGTCTAGCTCACTAACTTTTCAATCCAACTTGAAGGTAGGAAAGTTTAGTATGGACAAGTACTGTTGTTTGGGTGCACATTGTTCAGGTCCAGAAGTATTAGAGATACCATTACTTCCCTTTGTGACAAAAGACCCCGAGACCCCATGTCCAGAACTTAGCAGAGCTCAGAAAGCCTCTCTGTTCCAGGGACTTACATAGGTTGTCACTAGTGTCTGTCAATTGCCAGGGCACACAGGTCCTACTCATCCACTACAGCACTATGTGTATTTTTATTTTCTATTTACAAAAACTGCAACCTTTCCCCTTCTTTATTTACTTAGGACAATGTAGGAGGTACTTGGCTACTTGCGTGTGTACATGTGGAGGCCAGAGATCAACTTTAGGGGCATCCATGGGGGCTATCCACCTTACTGTCTCAGACAGGGTCTCTTATTGGCTGGCCTGGAACCTACCAATCAGGCGATCCTTGCTGGCCAGTGAGCCCCAGGGATCTGCCTGGGCTCTGCTGCCTCAGTGCTGGGGTTAGAAGCATGTGTCACATGATATTTTACGTGGGTTCTGGGGATCAAACCTGGATCTTCATGACAGAAGGCACTTTCCTAAGTATCTCCCCACCTCCCAGGAGATACTTCATTAAATATCGGTGTTGGTTATTTGCTTAACAGATTAAGGAGCCAATGGAATCAAGGAAAGGGCAGTAGCTTATAGGCCTTAGCTTACATAGGTATGGTACTCTTCCTATGAATACCATCTCTGCGGCTCCCATGGTGCACTGGTAAAAACCTCCTAATACAGGTGGTATTGCTGGGCCCTAGGGAGCTCCATTTCCGTCAGTTCCAGGATGTGTTATTCAAGGCTAATGAAGGGTTCAAGCTACTGATTGTAAAGGTGTCATGTGGTCTAGGCACTGTTACTGCCCAGGGAATGGAAATGATCAGTGGTTTTGGACACACTCAGACTCAAAGACATTTATTTCAAATCTACCCAGTCCCCTGGAGATGGGGACAGGCAAAGGGAGGCAGCTCAATGGACACCAGTCTTTCAAAGATCTGAAGAGAGCCGACTCTCCCTTGGAAAACCCACCCTCTTGTTCTGGAAGAACAGTTTTACTAAATGATAACTCGACCTTGTTATCTCATCACACTTGTAAAATTCAACATAATGTTCAATTAGATAAAGTACACATGGAAATGAGATGGTTATGGGTACCATTAAAGGGGAGACTTAAGGGTTATTAAATGAAAAGAATGCAAAATGTATTAGCAACTTGATCCTCTGGGTAATAAAATAAGTTTATTTATATATACATGGTAGCTGAATTCTGTGGATACGGAAAAATAAGTCATACATCCACAAATGTATATATAACATATGTACCTTTGATGACATATATTATATATAAATTTTACTTTACAAACAAGTTTTCTCTATACATACTCACACACATTGGCATACTCAATGCAATAGCTAACAGAAATATTATGATAAGGTTAAGGTCGGACAGCAATGTGTTAGAGAGCAAGTCTCGGCACAACATTTAACCTGCTGCTTCTGTGGGCTGAAGTCTTTGAAAAGAGACAAGCAGACTCATGTCAAGTAGGTCCACACAACATTGAGAAACACATGTTACTTTTGAAGGCCACCCTTCTTTCTGAAAGGAGAATGGAGGAGGGAAGGAAGTCGTGGTAAGAAGACCACAGCAACAACACAGACATTGGGATCAACAGTCAGATTCAAGCCCCAATCTGACAATAAGAACATCTATATTCAAAATATACTATCAAACTATTTTTTTCTTTTAAAGGGGAGGGGGTTTGAAGTTAAATTCCTAGCCACGGTGGGTTAGGAGAGGAACAGAGGACACGATTCCTCCAGAAGCCCCTCTCGGGTCTCTGAGAGTCTGCTCCCAATTGGCCACACTGGGTTCAGTGTGGGCTGGGACTGCAGCTGGACCTGGACCCAGGGAACAAGAGAGGGAAGGCAGGGGGAAGTGAAAGCTGATGGCAAGTTCATGGGCAGGTCTGCAGCGCTTCTGCCTGTAGACAGAATGGCACTTCTCTTGAGTGATTCATTTGGCAATCTTCTTCTTTAAAGATTTACTAGGGAAGGTTAAAAAAAAATAGTTCTACACCACAAGGCTTTCTAGATAAACCTGTTTCTCAGGGGGCACATCATTGCCTCCAGAGAAAGTGATACAGAATCTAAATAAACACTTGACCCTTGGACTGGGAAGAACAAGTGTGGCATAGCCCCAAGGCCGAAAGCAGCATCTGTCCTCCCAGGAAGAGAGGCATGGGGTCTAGGGCAGCTGGGGGTGTTGGAGAGGGATGCAGACAAGGGTTTCTAGGGAGCACTTTTCTGCCAGACAAAGGCAGTCCTGTTTCTTCTAGCATGGTGAGAGCATCCTGTGGGGTGATATAAGGGGGCTGGAACCCCATGATGCCTTGATGTCCATAGGTCCATTAAAGTTGACATTCAGTGATGGCACAGTGAGACTCCAGGGTGGCAAGTGCCCTTCTGTTTTGAACCCTTGCTTGTCTTCTGCCTTGGTGCGCCAGTCCCCTCTACGAGTATACATACAAGGAGACAGGAAATGCGGACATATTGAGTCAACCATAGCTCCAAGAACAGACAAAGGACCACTCACTTGGCCATCATGACATTCAGCTTCCATGGGAGACTTTCCTCACCTGCCCAGGGCTCCTGAGACCCCTACATGTCCAGAACAGTCAAGAGAAGCAATCAGTGCAACTGCTTTGCTTAGAAATACCTTTATTTTATAAAGCCATGGGTCATTCTGTAAATTTTTTTTAAACCACACTTGTAAAAAAGATGTTGACAATTCTTAAGAAAAAAAGCTGAAAATGTTTCTTATTAAGTCAGGGTTACACAAAGGTTATATTTATAATATATATATTTGTATATTTATAATTTAGAGACAAAAAATAGGGAATGGCAACTCGGAGGCTGCTGCATCTAGATCTCCGAAACTTGATCGTTTCCCACGAACAGTGTTTCCTGGCAGAAGGGGTTCACGAGGACCATCCCAGTGTCTCGATAGTCGCCATTGGCTGGGGAGCGGGGCTCTGAGAGCTGGTCCTGAGGGGAGAGGGAGGAAGATGGCGTGAGCTGGGGATGCAATAAGGGCTGGTTGCTTTTCAAGCAATGCACAGGTATAGCTGGGTATGGTGGCACACACAACCCCAGCACTCCAGAGGATGGCAAGTTCAAGGCCAGCCTGGGCTACATAGTGGGAGACTGTCTCAACAAATCAAGCAACTAAGCACCCCCATAAGAAACTAAATACATATGCACGCGCATGTGTGCACGCACACACACACTGATGGTTATTTCTGGTCAGATTAGCTGGATTTAGAATCACCTCTGGGAGTGTCTGGGATGGATGGTTTCAGAGAGGACTAATCAAGGGGGAAGAGACCCCCCTCTGAAGGCAGTGGCAGAATTCCATGGTTTGCCCCAAACAATAAAAGTGGGGAATAAAAGGGGGAAGCCAGGTGAGCACCAGTATTTCTCTGCCCTGTGGCTGGCAAGCCAGGTGAGTACCAGTATTTCTCTGCCCTGTGGCTGGCAAGCCAGGTGAGCATCAGTATTTCTCTGCCCTGTGGCTGGCAAGCCAGGTGAGCACCAGTATTTCTCTGCCCTGTGGCACTGGCCATTTGGCCACTTTGTGAACTGTGCTCTTCCACCATGACTGCCCATGACGAACTGAACCCTCTGGAACCACGAGCACAATTTCTCCTTTAAGTGTTTCCGTCAGGCAATCTGGCCACAGCAACAACAAATCGCCCAATATGTGCACTTTCATTTCAGGATTGCTGGCTTTATGTTCTTATCTAGGCCAGTGCCAAGGTGTAGAGCCTGCGTCTAGACTTTTAAGTTCTGAAAAAGGGTTCTTGGTTTCTT